GAGGGGGCAATATGTATTACAAAGCATTTTACCCCGTAAAGAGTTTTAAATGCTTTATGGCAGGGGTGCCAACCGTTTCAAGCATAGAAATCTATTTACTTTCAATTTAAAAATATTTCGTGAGTCTCTATATGGCCTTTGTCGAGCCTTATGCTGTTATTAATAAACACAATATAAAATAATAAAGAATTTTTATGGCATTGATAATGTTTTTATGACACTCTATAATGATCCTTTACACAATGAGTAGGCAAAACAATTCAAAACGGTGTCGTAGAGCAAGCTGATTAGTATAGCTCTAGTAACAGTAGAAGAAAGTATGAATTTTATGATGAAAAATAAACAAATGAAAGACTGTAATTTCAAGGAATTTTTTATATTTAGATTTTTTATTTTTATAGAGATTTGTTTTTATTGACTCTTTGGGCAAAGTGGTAAGCAATTAAATCCAAGTTAGTTGCCTTCTGATATATAAAAAAGGTATATTAAAAAAATGGCAAGCACTGTAAAGAGCCATTCAGCGATAGATCTGGATTTAAGTGCACGAAAGATCTGGGTTCATGTTAGACTGCTGGAATATAGCAAAGGATGAGAACGCTCTTTGAGGGTTGCTTTTATGAAGGACTTCCTAAGAGGAACTGACTTGCATTCAACTCGTGATCCTATGTGCCGCTGTTTAATTTTGAAAGGATGATCTATTTTATACATCTCGCTGAGATGTAATTCACAAAAAGAGAAAGTGAATAACGGACTCGTATTTCTATAGAAAATAAGTACAAATACTGACTGACCATATGTAAGAAAAATGTTGAAATATGTTAAAACTATTTTCATTACAAGATTTTTATGTAAAATCCTTTTGAAAACATTTTCGCGACGAGAATGTCAAGCGACAGATAAAGACGTTGCCAATAGGAAAATTATATTTAAAATCCTCTCCCCCCCAAAAAAAAATGTTATGCGCCTAGTAAAAATAAAATTATGAAGATATACTTTTTCTATTTTTAAATTTTGAAAGGAGGAACGATTTTCAATGTTCTGCTGAAATATAATTGACAAGAATAGGAGGTGAATAACGATCATGAATTCAAATGCTTCCATATTATGTCTAAGAAAAATGGTGAAATCTGTTAAAGACATTTTCAATCTTAAATTTGTTCTGCTGGATCTAAAGAAAGCATAAGATCATAAGCAGTGCTCAAATGACTCAATACGGGGAAATTACTTTTAAGAAATAGTAGGATCCGAGCTGTCATCGCTTATCAGGGATAGCGCCGTCGTTATGAACTGCAACAGCTGTTGCCTTGACTAGTTCCCCTCGCATTAGCGTTTCTTCCTTCTCTGACTCTCTTGCACGGTTTTCCTATTAGAGGCCATCTGAAATACTACATGACTTCCTCTTCTGTGTACAAAAATGTGTTCTCTTTTCTTTTTTTTATAAGCTATTTCACATTCCCGAAATCTACAAATTTTCATCTATTCTCTTGCAAATTATATTTGTGTTTAGGTGAATAATATATTTGTGTTTTTGGTTACGGGTGTAAATGAGATCTAAAGCTTAGAAACCGAATTTTTATGATGACGTTTAATCATTTTCCAAAGTATTTTCTTTCATTAAAAAAAGGTGCACCTTTTTAGCTCTTTGAGTAAAATTACATAAATAACAGTAAGTTATAGCGGTATTTTATTTTGTTCTTAAGCAAATAAATTTTTAATGCTGTATGAGGTTAAACTGAGTTTGACTTCATTTAAAGATTAGTCAAACTTTCTAAACTGCCGAACGAAATTTTATCCTGTCTTTAACTTTCAGTACCCTAAGTAAAACAATAGGTGCTACAAGTAGAAGTGGGCGGGACACCAGAAGTTCACAATTGGTCATATAGGTATAATTCCGCCGCCCTAACTATGGCATTATCCTCACTTTTGAGGGAGAATACCCTGGGAGGGCAGTCCGAGGGTCTACCACAACCTCTCGAGAGGACTTACGGCTTGCCGTGTATTTGGAGTGTTCCTTTGTACCACAGATACTCTATGCTTACAATTATCCACGGACCCGGAGCTTTCGTTATGGCAATCAAGGCCACCAACCATTATATCGTTTGAGCGGCTTAAGCAACAATGAAAAACAACTGAAAAGATTTATTTGAACGTTAACTAAAATTTAGAGATCTAAAACAATTAATAAAATTAACTTCCACTTCTTGCAGGATTGATAGACAACAATGATTCAAAGTATTCATCATCAAAATTTAGATTACAAGCCTAATAACCTGGCTAGCAGCAATGCTCAAGATAGAAATCAACGGAGGAGTTTCACTACTTTTGGCTAAATATTATCAAATTTCCCTCTTAGCTTCTCCTTCCTACTTAAAACTCTTTCTATTTACATACTCCGGTAGACTATAAATCGTCTAGTAGATACAAGGGTAGAAGTGCTGGAAATATTTTTATCATAAGAAATAGCATATTAATTCGAGTGAACCTTACAGTTCTACGACTTAATGTTGTAACATATTTTCTTCCTCCTTACTGCGTATCTTCGTGGTGTAACGGGAAAGCACGTCAGGACTAGCAATCGGAAGATCTGGAGTTCGAATCCTGGTGAGGGCATTTCCCTTTTTGCAGGTCTCCTGCTCCAAAATAAAATGCCTAATGGTGTCTGCAAGGTTTATTCGAATGATGGCCTGTATTCAATCCACAGGTAGAGAACATGCAAGTAACTATACAAGAACCATACTAACTTTTCTTATCAATTGAAATCTTGAAGACTCCGTGTTGATGTTCAGCTTCTGGAGCAACACAACTCCAGCATCATCTTAACGGACATGCTTATTATTCATTAATTAGATTGGCTGAAGCTAGTTTATCACTGTTTTATCTGCAGGATACCAACTTCTTACGATTCTCTCTACGTTTAATTTATCTTGATTGTTAAAACTGGATGTAACATGATGCTGGAAGCTCTTTTTTTAGCTGGTATGTAAGAAGTTTAGAAGTTATTTCTAATGCTTGTTGTTCCAGATGTTGTCAAGCCTTAGTATATATATATATATATATATATATATATTATATATATAGATAATTTAACAAATATTCTCTATTCGTATAAAGCTAATATAAATTTAAAATTAAATTCAGAAATTTTAATTGCAAAAAAAAAAAAAAAAAAATATTGCTGCGAACTAATTTACAATATCATTTAAATTCTAAGAACATATGTAAATTAAGTGCACGTATCTAAAAACCATGAAAAAATACATAATACTCCAAAAACTAATCTCAAACATATTTTTAAGGAATTTTTAAGACCAAATATATATATATATATATCTCAGAGCACTTCCAGAAGTTCCGAAAGTATCGGGTAATCATTTTCTTCGTACCAGTTCATGCATTCCAAGGAGTGCTTAAAAAGTGTAGTGGTAAAAACAATAAAACAGGACTTTTGTGCAATATTAATAATTCAAAGGAGCAAAATGTTCCGAAACTGAAAGAATGCTTTTCAGAGTAATAATGCTTGAAAGATCAATTTTTATTCCTATGAAGTAATGTTATACCAAAAAGAGGAGTAAAGAATTTACGTATCCTTCTTCAGAGATTTTTTTTCCCTCTTAAATATAGGAATTACGAAACAGACTGTTTTTACCGACGTACAGAGTTTAGGTTAGGTTGCTTGAATACGACAACGACACGAGGGCTGAGAGGAAAGCCTAAATGGAAAGATACCTTCGTAGAGAACCTTCTGAGGAAAACTGGCTAATATTCTTGCACGGGAAAACCAGCCATGCAGCCAACCCGATCTGCCTGTGTTCGAACCCAAAGCAGGTCGGTCGAGCTACCATTATTCAGTAGTCCCAAAGAATAGAGGAAAACTGTCTGTGAGCAAAACAGAGGCAATTTCTTTTATACGCTGGTAATTATAGTGTGATGATTTCCCATAATTTGTTGTAAGCCTAGGTGCTATATATGAGATTTTCCCTGTACTTACGTATCTGGTAAAACATGATGTACGGAATTCCATACAATTAGGCTTAATTAAATGCTAGTTATGAACTAACATTTAATTAAGCATAATCAGAAGTTGTATTATGAAGATATATGACTCTGGAAGGTCTGTGTATCAGATATCATGTGAAAGTTTTATTTTGAAGCTATATTTAGGAAAAATGTAATGTGCTTAGTCCTCGTATCAGAAATCGCGTATCAGATTTTATTTCATAGTTTCATATTGAAAAAAGAAACTATAGCGAGTTCATGCAAAGAGACGCAATAAAATGTCATTTTTTTAATGTAGTAAAGAGCAGCATGAATTTTATGGCATTTAAAATTTCAATGCAATTGAGCTCCAGTTATCCGAACTTGAAGACTGCGATTTGTTTTGCTTTAGTTTATTCATTTTCTTAATGCGTTAATTTCGTTAATATTTTCCCACACAGTTAATCGTTTTGTTGTAGATTTGCAGCTATGAGGAAAGCACGTCAGTTTTTGTCCAGTATTTTAACTGCACTACACTAAGAAAACGAGTCCGTGTGTACGAATATGCGAACGAATACGTTGAGGGGACCAAAATTTGAACGTAATTTTTTCCAGAAACAAAATAAAAGTACTAATCGTTATTTTAAGCCCTGAATATTATATGAAAATATAACTGCTCATAAAGGCTCTTTCTGCAGTTAAAATTGTTTTTAAACAAATTATTAAATAATGTTTGGATATCTCCAAGTACGCATGTTGCTTAGCAATATTTACTTGGCGATAGTTTTGAAACAAATGCTTATAATGCCTTACACGTATTTAAATGTATTAACTGATGCCCTGTTGACTAAAATAAGGCTAGCATTGCATGAATCTTTTTGAATAAAAATTTTTTCGCATATTTGGGGACAGATATCTCCATGGCGCAGTTCGTTGGCGACAAATGATCGCGGCCCTTTCAAAGTCAACTCCTTTTTTCTGGCAGCCCTTACTGAAAGGATGACGTCGATCCACAGCAGCGACAATCCACACGTGGTTGCATCCAGCGAACGGCTGCTTCTATTAGACGTCTCGTGCGCGGTATGACATCATGTAGCCACCATCCATCTGCTCTGTTGCTGTCAGATTATGATCCCGAATATTAGTCTTCAGTAATTTAGATTGTTGCTGAAACGAGTAATCCCGCATCACGGTAACTGAGTATTGCTGTCAAGCATCATAGGTGAGTTTAAATCATAATAATTTTTGTTGAATGCTTCATTTTATTGTTTTTGATATTGCAATAATTCGAAAGAAAATGAGCTATTTGCTCATTGTTTGCAAACTTATCGCTGAGTTAAACGAGCTTGTGACATTATAAATGTGTTTTGGACATTATAAAAAAAGTCGAAATGTTATTACTTAAGTTAAATATTTATTATAAATCAAGAATTTGATATTGTTTTCATGGAATATTTAGTTTCATAGTCGGTGGGAATTTGCTAATGAGAAACAGGAGCTAACTTTATCCGAAATTCGTGTGTTTGATGAGAACGCTAATTAACGCTTATATAAGTATTTTTCGACTGCATAATTATTTTTAATACGAATAGATGTAAGTTTTTAATTCTTGACTTTGAGATCAATGAACGTGCGCATTTATGACACTGTAAAAAGAGCAAATAATTTCAAAGGAAATAACTGTTAACATATTTTGTGTAATGTTTATTTAGTATTTGTTTACCGTCACATAATTACCCAATGGTTAATAACTTTGGCTATTTAATTTGTTTTTCTTTTATTCCCATCTTTTCATAATATTAAGTAATTAATGTATTTCGTTGGTAATATCACTGTTTTCTCTTTTTAATTATATTATGAACACCTACTGTTCTGTGTCTTATTCTTCATTATTTTAAAGCTTCGAAGAAATATTTAGTTTTCAATTAGCGGTAATATCCTGTCCAGTTTTAAACAGACACTGTTGCTAATTGATGATGATAACATCTTTCATTTATCTTCGGTATTATAAAAGTGCATTGCTCATCAGAGTCACGAAATAAATCATTTAAGAAGCAATTTTGTTTAGATGTCTTAACAGTATTTTCAACAGGTGTTATTTTATAACTTATGTGTCATATATGAAATAGGTTCTTATAACACACTACAATTCGTTGATTTCAAAATTTCTAACTGTATGCACTGTATGCTTCAACGTCTACATCCAAAACCATATGTGATGGTTTTGATGAAATTTTGTTAGAACATATATATTGCTAACCTTTCAATGCATGTACCTTTTTATTTTGTAAATGGTAAAAAATGTTTTATTTCGTAATGGTAATGGTAAAAATCTCTTTTTAAATATTCTGATATTTTTCTATTCAGGCCATATTACATTCAAGAAAAAAATTCTGAAACAAACTTCGCAGCTTTTAAAATTAAAACTTTTTGAGTTAAACTTAACTTTTTTCAAGAATAAAAATTTAGAGTTGCCAAAATTATGTGTATCTTTTATCGGAGAAAAGATATCATATTTTGGTAAACGCTACTTCGAGATGATAAATTACAACCTGAAGTTTCTCATATATATATACTCGTATATTAGTGATTTTAGTTTTTAATTTGGCTTTAAATATTTCATAAAAATCAGTGTGGTGGCAAAAGCTCATTGTCGCATGTGAAAATGTTATTTTCATTACCATAATAAGTAACTTGTAACTTGTTAGTACTTTGCTTGTACTTTCAATTGAGCTTCCGTTGTTTACATATAAATACGTATTAGTAGTAAATCAGTTACTAGTCCGTATGAGAATGCTCGGACTAGATTTTTCAGTTCCTTCTCAACTGCGTTAAGGTAAATTAAAAGAACTCTGGTGACTGTTTCTTTCAGAATCAAGTCTGTTTTGAGGCATCTAAATTTTTTCAGAAAACTGGGAATTGAGCATTTTGTCAAAATGTTATAATTATTACTTTTAAGATTTAGAGAAATAGGTACAAATATTTTTACTACAAAGTATACAGGCGTGGTCAATTTTTTGTGAAAGCACTTTTTAAACTTTGTGCTGAATATGTGTTACTGGATCTGAGAAAAGTTCGCAACTTTTTTGCCACCAAAAACGTCCACCGATGATCGAGTGCACAAGGTTCTTCGACCAGGATTCAAAGCCTGGAGAATGGGCTGACTGCATGAGAGCTTCGTTTAGCTTTCGTTTCTTTGCATCATCAAATGATTCAATGCAAATTACCATATACAAATTTTATTGCGATTTGTGTGTAGCCTGATTGATGTACCACCTTCCATAGTTTGTTGAATAGAATAATAATTGTAATAATAATAAAAAGTCAAATAAAATGATTTCACGAGAAAATATTATATTGTAGGTGTTAGAAGAAAATACGTTATATAAACAAGAAATATATGTATTGATACAGAAGACATTAAAATAATTTTTTTACACGAGAAGTCTTTTTTAGACTCTATATTTGTGTTTTGTTAGCAAAACTGCGCTTGTTTAACTTTCTTTTATATAATGCCTATAGATATTTACAGTTTCCTTAGAAAAGCCTCCACGAAGCAATCGCTGTCTTCAGGCAGATAGCCCTCGAGTAGTTTACTATAATCGATCAAAATACCAAAACTTGTGAAATAGCACTAGTTACAGCTTCATCATATATATTAATTTAATGAAACTTTTTCTGATAGTTCTTCTTTTTTTATACTTTCTGGCATCGCTATTTGTTGTTTGTTATTAACTGAATGTGTAATCTAACCAGACAAAATTCTGTAGAATTTATATGATCTTGAAAGTTAAAATATGTTTGATAATGCGTTTAGTATTTTAAGATGCAAAAGTAAACGCTCATGATCTTTAAAAGCTTTCCAACAATGAAATATGTATTTTATTCAAAATCATGACAGAAATTTGTATTAACGTTCCAGATGCTACGAAATCAACAATAACTTCATAGAAGAGAAAAATCAATAAACTCGTTATTAGCTACACTCATCCTTATTTAAAGGAATCGATCAGGTACGTAGAAATTGTGAAACTACTTGTTGAATAGCTGGTGCTTGAAGATGAAGGAACTCTGCTGCGCTATTGAGTGCGGATTATAGCTTTTGTTACTTATTCCCAAGTGAATGAATTACTGACGTATTTAAAATGTTTCCGTATTCCAGTTTAATCGCTTATGGAAGCAAGTTGGAAAACATACCAAAGCAAAATAAATTTAAGTGCACTTATAATGATAAGGAAAAATAAATTTCTCTCTTGAAATTTTAATGATAGCGAATAATCATGAAAGAAATCACTTCGCGTAACCTATGACTGAAGAAATTCGCGTTTTCAGACATGGGATTTCGAAAAATTATCTGACTATATGGTGAAATTTCGAGCGAGTTATCTCTCTGACGCAATGAAAGGGAATTTGGTGTTTGAATATGCAAAATATGAATAGAAATCTGATGGAGTATTCAGAAATGGTTCATTGAGAAGGGTTTTCTTGATTGTTCTGCATATACAGGTTGCGTCAAAAAATGTATACGCACTTTGAACTCTCATTGAAAATTTATTTTCCAACCTACAAGGTTAAATTTCTCGAAATGGTAAGGTTATACTCTAATTAGAAAAAAATAAGTATACTTTTTGGTCAAACTGAGTGTTCTAAATGGTGTTTAAAGTAAATGTTCAAAATGGTGGTCTTCTGCATTTCTGAGCACGAGTCCAGGACTTATTCCGTAATCTGCACCAAAGTGTCCAATAGGATTTCTGTGTATATCGCTTGAATCTCATCCCAAAGTGTGTCAAGGTTAGGTGGTTTATGACACTTCGCCTCATCTTTTCCTGTGCCACATAAAAAAAAAAAAAAAAAAAAAAAAAAAAAAATCGAATGGCGTTCGGGGTCCAATTTTGTGAATGGGTTTAGGAGATGGATACACACGAACCAAGATTTATGGGTAACATTGTTTCGCTGGATAAAACGCAATTTAAACTTAATGGGATTGTCAATAGGCATAATTGTGTGTACTGGATTGAAGGTAAATCCTCACATTATGTTCGAAAAGGTCGTGAATTTGCCTGGTGCAAAAGTGTAGTGCGGTTTGTCTCCTAGGGTAATCATTGATGGACCTTTCCGTTTCGAAGGTTATGCAGTTGGAGCAAAGTACCTCACAATGCTTGCTAATTCCATTTTTCCTGATATTTTGTAATGTAAGGTAAAACCATGTTTTATTACCAACAAGATGGCACCTCTTCGCAGTATCATAGGGATGTGCGAGAATACCTAGATCAAAATGTACCAGGCCAGTGGATAGGACGCAGGAGACCAATCGAATTTCCTGCGCCCTCTCCAGACCTTACGCCACTCGATTATTTTATGCGGCACAGTCAAAGTGTACCATCGTAGACCATGTAACCTTGACACACTTTGGAATGAGATTCAAGTGGTGTGCGCAGAAATCCCATTGGACACTTTGGAATCGGCCGTGACTCGTACTCTTAAATGAATCGATGCTGAAGACCACCATTTTGAACATTTACTTGAACACCATCCGGAACATTCAAAGTTTGGCCAAAGAGTATACTTCTTTTTCATATTGGACTGTACCCCTACTTTTCCCAGAAATCTAACCTTGTCGGCTGGAAACTAAATTTTCTATGACAGTTCAAACTGTGCATACATTTTTCTGACACACCCTGTATAACGTAAATATAGGCCTGTTTCCTTCAAGTCTTCTACAAATTCATCCTTTCTCTAAGGTTGATAACCCTGTAGAGCCCTAGTTATCAGTCGCCAACCAAGCCGTTTGAGAAACATTTCAAAAAGATCCAGAAAGCCCTCGCACACTTAGCTATTATCAAATAACCATCTCCATGTTGTGCAATACGATTCAGTAATTTTTTTTAATTGCGATTTTAAACGGAAATTAAGCATCCGCAAGGTCTTTTTCGTACGGCTTTCCCCACTGCTCTCCAAAATTCATATGGCTGCTCCTCTGTTCCCACTACCGGCCGAGTATACTTTCATATGGTTTCTCCCCTTCGCTGCTATTAGCAGTCGATCGGCAAAGTCGCTGAGCACTGTAGCTCGACCTCGATTCGATTCTAAGCGAATGGGCCGGCTGCATAGGTATTCGTGGTCTTTCCCATGCAGATAGTCTTTGCGAGTCTTGCCATAATTTAATAAATCAATAACTCCGGAAAAGACAAAATTAATTAGAGGTTTTTAACAGTTTTAGTT